TTTGGACATCCAGTTTTATAACATTACAATAAAATAAATAGGTCTGAATACACGTGTGCAGTAGTCTATGTGAATTTTTTTCACAAACCATTCACTTTATTAATGAAAAAGGGCTATTTTACAGTAGATACACACTTTTACATAACTAATGCAAAAGTAAATTAGTTCAATTAATTTTAATCAGTATACACCTAACAATCATGCACATGGCCATTATAAACATAAGCATGTGTGTGTGCACATCACTCTCAAGGCTAAAGACCAAGAGAGAAAATAAGAGCTCTTCAGAGGCTTTCAATCTCTTGTAATGGTGTTATTATCTTAATGGAGGAGCCAAACACATAAGACTGGAAAGGTCCATGTCCCTTTGTTTTGTGAGCCTAAGAGTAAGTGGTTTTATATTACCCTGCTCTGCTATATGGCTACCGCTTAATATGAAATGCACATTATTCTTGGGAGGCACGGTGAACAGCCCGAGACATTGCTCCATCCTCACCTCATGAGGCACATCAGAGTAATCAAGTTTAAATTGTCTCTTTCTCAAAAGGGGTCACACTGCTGTTCATATTAGGGGCACTGGCCATCAAGTGCATCTGCAGGTGGTAAGGACAGAGAGCAGAATGTTTAACATGAAAGTAGAGTGAGTGTATGAAGGAAGGTGGGTTTGTGCATCAGTGTGGTAGTACTCGATTCCAAACAAGACCGAATTTGGACTTATGGGTGTACTCACACTCCCCAAAGTCGAGTTTGTTTGGCTAGTGTGATCACTCCGTACTGATTGGGTTTGATTGAGCTCGGGCGCAGTATGCATGTAGTGTGATCAATAACCACACCGGAGCATGGAACAGATACTACATCATTATGACAACAAACATCTTTTACAGATTAAATACAACACAGCAATAATATACACACTGGCCTGAAGAAAATGGGTGTTCATTCAAAGAAGGTTTTCCTATGAATTAATTAGTAGAACAGTCCATTTCTCGTGTGCATTTGTACCCCTTGTTTCTGGAGAAAGCAGAATGAGAGCCGGCTCGCATTCCACAAGGTTGTAAATGTATCGGGTTACCATGAAACCAGGGTCTTGTTCGGCGTCCTGGGGTGTTACAAAGTATTTGTGAAATCTAGCTAACAAAATATATATTGTGTGTTGGAGTGTTCCAGACGCTACACTTGGATGGTACACTTTTCAATTAATTTGAGCATATCTAACAGATTTGGTTCTCACCTTAGTGATTAACAGTAATTGTAGTGTGCAAGTAAAGCTGCAAATTCCTCCATCAGTGTCATCTGCCTCCGTAAAAATGTTCTGATACTTGCAGTACAATTAAAACAATGAAAATCCCTACGTGATAAATCTATTAGATAGTCTATTAGCAAAAGCACTTTTCTTCCTGTTTTCTTCAAATCAAAAAGTTGCAACGTAATGACGTAAGTGTGCTCTGGCCCAGAATGTTAAGTGCAATGTGAGTGCAGGCCAGCGGGAGAGTGGGGAGAGGGGAAAATCAGGCTTGGTACAAGACAATCATGCCCAGTGTGAGTATGCCATCTCATGTCCGAGTCCAAGACCAAATTTTCTATGAGTAGTGGAGACCAGCTCATTCGAGTCAGAGTCCAGGCCAAGCACTTAATGATCCTAAAAATCTGATATATTATCAAAAAGATATTGATCTTTGATATCAAAGATATTTTTCTTTGTTCACAAAGAAATTCAATTATCTTTACCCTTTTTCTGGGAAGAATGCAATTGCATGGAAACAATGTGATAATGATGACTTTCGACAACAGAATGCCATGGGATTGTGGAGAAAGGATATATGGTCTATGAGATTAGAAGACCGGACACTATCACTTCAAGGTGGAATATTCAATTACATCATCTCTGCGAAATGGAAATTAAGAGGAGAAAAACACTTTTTCCTTCTTGGACCAAAATGGTGGCCATTTACTTGTCTATCATCAAACCCATTCCATTTCCAAATTGAACCTTGCCCTCGTGTCACACCTGATGGTGCTGCTCATCAAGGAATGCTTATAACACTTACAGTACTGACAAGATCTATATGAGATATACAATGTTCATCCTCAGGTGATTCTAGCCTCTCTGCAATACTATTTGTGTGATCTTTCAGTGTTCCCAGACCACAATTAAGTTCAAATCATCTGGTGCATTCTTCACCCATGCTCTTGCCGTCAACTTGACATGTGCATTACCATAATGTATCTCTCTAGTCTGACACCGAGGGTAATTGCAATTACTACATCTTTCTTCCCCTTGTCACGTTGCTGGCAAATGGAAAGCGACAATAATATTCCTTTGTCTAGAATGACATAAACACGGTCGGCTTAAAACTTCATCCAGGGAAGCTTAAGGATTCCGAGGTCATCATCTTGCCATCCACCTTCATTATGCTTCCACCCCAGGTAGTTAACAACGACGAAGCTCTTGTTATCCACCGTGCTATCGGTGACAGAGTTGCATGCCCCGTTGTTGTCAACACACTGAAGAGCAGTGGCGCGGCTAGATAGGATTGCATAGACAGCCTCTTCATAATGCTCCTGGGCAATGTCATGCTCAACAGTGGGCTCTTGTTAGGAGCTGAGAGAAGGTTATCAGTCCTGACACACGCTTATCAGCACACGTCCATCTCGTAGCACTGGCGCTGTGCGCACCACCCACCGAAGTACACAGATGCTGTTTACCCGCACCAGGAGTGGGCCGCCAGAGCTAATTCAACATGATTGTCTCCCAAAGGACAGAAAGCAGAGATTTTGACAGGGGAAGGAGGGACAGAACTCAACACATGTCTTCCCAGAAGAAAGGGACCCAGTGCGAGGAGTCTACGCTTCCCCTCGCTATTTTATTAAACCTCGCTTAACATCGCTGAGGCAGGATTTTTGGGATCGGAGGGCTGATTCAATCATGGGTAATTGCTATCGGATAATAAAAGAGGACACACAAGGTGGGCTTATTCACCAGGATTCTTGGGGGCTTATTGACACAATATCTCAGCTGTCAATTATCTCTCCTGCTCTGACAGGTGCACAATAACAGGCACTGGGATGTTTCTATTGAGCTGGTAAACTCAAGCTCCTTTTGAGTCCAGAAAGTATGTGACATGAGGGAATTGAGTTTGATTGCAGACTGCTCTCATCCCTACGCTGCCCTCCCCATCCTCTTTCCTCAGTCCACTAATCATATTCCCTTGAAAACTGCTGGAGAATCAATAGTCCGCCTGATTTGCTTCATTAGATGATATTAAATATTCAGACGACAGAGGCTACATATTGAGCCAGCTATCTAAGGCATTGACGAATGTTTCGGTGAGCTTCTATGTGAAGGCCTACCTGTCACAATGCCTTTAACCGCATTAAAGCATCTACATAATTCCAAAAGAGCCGAGCAAAGATGTTTTGCCTGGACAATGCCTCTTTGAGGAAATCAGCAGGGAGGTCAGCAGTGAGGTCAGCAGAGAGCGAAAGGACAGCACCCTGCATGAGGTGCTCTGATATTTTTGGCCCTGTCACCGCCGTGGTGCCTGCTCACTGATTTGACTTTAATGAAGAGACTGGATTTGTGCGGTTGTACTCGCCCCAAGGCTAAAGTCATGCAACTCCGGCAAAACAAATGATAGAGGTGCAATTACGAGACGCAATAAACAGACTCAGCATTTTCCCCTTGAGCACTAGAACTAAATCACAGTTGCAGAAACCAAAAGCAACCAGGTACCCAAGGGCGAAATCAAATGAACCAACAGCACACCTCGGCAGCTGGTGAGGGGTGCAGACATACGGATGAGGAGAGAGGGAATTTAGTAGACAGGAACGCTAGGTCTGTAATGTTGAAAGGAAGGAAGTGGCATCTAGTAGCGGTGTATGTAAGTGAGTGCAGCCAACCCCAGCCCAAGTGAATTTCCACATGCAAGATGTTTTCAGGGGACTAAATTCGCCACAATGACATCTGGCTGAGAGAATCACTGATTGCACTCTCATCACAAGCAGCAGCCAGTTGCAAAGTAAATGAGCATATCCATGTTGTTCTCTGAGAGCTAAACGTGATTAAGGAAATCAACCTATGAAAATGATGCTATAATCCTGAATCTCTTGAAGATCACACATTCAAGAGGTTGAATTGCTCTCTCCTTCTCTCTGAGCGCATTAGCGGAAGATCAACAATAAATATTCAATATTAGCATGAGATAGCGCTTCATCATTTTCATTTCTGCAAGCCTTGCAAGAAAATGTTCTTTCATTTTTGACTGGTGATTTATGTTTCCCTCAAGGCAAATCTGCTGACTGCTTAAGTGCTCCTAAATGTATAATCTTGTTGGAGGCAAACACACAATAATGTTATGTTAACTATTCATTAACAACAGAACAAAGCGCATAAAGATGCATTTTTGTATTCTAAAAGTTTAATTAGAGTACTGTTGGGTTAGTTAGAGAAGACGGGATGTCAAAAGCCACATTTTCCAGGGCACAATAACTCTCCGCTTGGTAATAAGCAACTTTGATAAATACAGTGGTGCTGGACATAATAAACATGACCAAACACAATAATGTTGACCATTTTCCAACCCTTTAAATAATGAGTGGAATAAATTATTTTTAAAAAGACAAACTAATGTGAGACATTGATGCTGTTTGGAATACAGAAATTATGCTCTACAGCAGTTTACAACTTTTATTCAAAGATCAACATTGCCTACCACCCATGTAGTACAGTAGAGAAAAGTGCTACAATGACTTGTGATATACCACTTGAAAGTAAGACCTTTACTAAGTATAGCTTGTCTGATATGGATTAAAAAAAAATACAACTTCTGCAAGAATGCATGCGGAAGACCTGCATATCTTTCAGTGCAGTATTAATAAAGGTGTGCTGAAGCTTATCCAAGTTTGTTATTTACTTAGGTAAGGCTGCATGCACCAGATCTGACTGACAGTAACTTAACCTATAAATGCTCGAGTCACAGCTGTTAAAGGTTTGTACTCACCTGCTCTCCTGGCTCATGCGACTTCATAAGGCTCTTCTCTCTGTACATTGACCAAAGGCCGACGTTTGGCAGAAAAATTAAAGCCACCATGAATAGAAATGCCATCTGCAGAACGCGTTTTTGCCTTCTCTTCATTTTGAAGACGCGAATGAGAAACAATCCAGCGTTAGATAGACGCGTGTCAGCCGTGTGTGGACTCGAGCTCAGTATCTCCTCTCGTAGAAGACGACAAACTTTCACCTGCAAGGAAGACAGTGTCGCCGCGTCATATAAACAAACACTCCAAAATAAAGCTGATCAACATAGTGTCTTATTACGCGTACTCGAGAGCAACACTAGCTGTCTCTTAACTGACATACGCAATTAAGCAAACATTCACTGAACACTCTACAGTATATGCGTAGGATATCAGTAACTGAGAATATTAGCAGATGTGCTCGTTTTTTATCAGTCAGCGAGACGCAACGCGCGTAAGCAATACTAAGAAAAGACTTACAGTAGAGGGTTATTTGCATGTTGAGACATTTATGTTGTTCGGCAATCCCCTCTCCTCTGTTGAAGACACACCAGGGGAACGTTTCCGAGTACGATAATTGCTGAACAACGACGAGCGCTACGTTTCTATCTGTGGCAATGCGCTCGAGATACAATTTGAAATCGTCTCGTGCTCTGCATTAAAACCCTCGCGCGCGTCCCACCTACGGAAGGTTTACGGATTCTTTCTCGTTCCTCCTTGGGCGAGTTTCTCATTGCCCTCAGCTGTTAGATATTGCGGTTATGAACCACGTGTGATGCGCATTATGAAAACATCGTCGCAGCCGGGCGATGCTTTCCGATGTGTGGGACAGCACAGTGAAGCAGCAGCCTTACGCCAGACACGAGCTCACAGAGTAAAGAGGCGAGGGATTCTTAGCTTTGGTTTGAGCTGTTGAACTGTAGCTTTGCTTGTTCTTTAAACGCAAATGTGTTCGTAGGTTCAAGTCATTAACCCTGTGACACTCACTATTCTAGTGACATTACAGCTCTAATTTTATTTTGGAAGCGAGTCTTATAATAAACAAGAAAAAAAAAAAGGTCGGATACTTAACATACCTAACTATATATATATTTGATTTAGCAGTCTAATGCAATTTTACTGTAAAAGACTGTAAAAATCTGGAAGAAAATTTATTAATAGCTTTATAATTTACGAAAGAAATATTTAATAATATTCATGTAACAAGGCAATGTGTACTTAAAAATATTACAATGTGTACACAATGTGTACAGTATGTAAAAATATTTCATTTAAAGCTTTTCACATGCCATGCCAGCAGATCACAAGAAGGATAGAGAAATAAATAAATAAAAAACAAATTACAGAAACATGTACATATATATATAGATATACATAAGCATACATACAGAGAACATATTTAAAATGCATAATGAAAAAGAAAAGAACAACTAGAAATGGATTTTAAAAACAGACTAATTATCAACATAGATAATTATATAAAATAAAATTCCAGTACCAGTAATTACCCAATTATGAAATGAGTTATTGCACACTACTAGACATTACATATTCTACCACACATCTTAAAGAGTATGCCCAGAGTGCTGAACTCAATGACCTTCCTGTCTCTTCAGTTCACTAGCAATTTCCTATCCATATGTAACACTCTACTAAATTATTGTTAGCCACGTCTCAAATACTCTTTGCTCCACATATTATGAATTAAGACTCTTTTGTTCACTGTGCATCATTAGAATCTTTATTTCTGTATTATATTGAATCTATAGTTTATTTATATATTTATTTCTTGGATTGAAGGCACACATTACTTTGAAGCTGCTTATTTACTATCAAATGCTGCTATACTTGATGGGAATGAAAGTTAGACAGATGGGGGTGGGGTGGGGTGGGGGTATGCTTAAGCCAAAGGCAAATGCAGCACAGCGTATGGAGACAGCATACACAAGGGATCACCTGATGTTTCTAAGTGAATTGCAGATCTTCATGAATTTTGTCAATACCAGGTTGGATTTAGTCCTGAATATTTAAAAGCATTGATACGCAATCTAACAAATATGGTTTCCCTTGCTATTGTAAATTAAATATATAAAAATAATGAACTTTTTTTTTTTTTGGTACAGTCACCACCAATAGAGGGGGCCATTAGGCACAGTCTGCTCTGAAATAGATAGATAGATACAGTGGGGCAAAAAAGTATTTAGTCAGCCACCAATTGTGCAAGTTCTCCCACTTAAAAAGATGAGAGAGGCCTGTAATTTTCATCATAGGTATACCTCAACTATGAGAGACAAAATTAGAAAAAAAATCTAGAAAATCACATTGTAGGATTTTTAAAGAATTAATTGGTAAATTCCTCTGTAAAATAAGTATTTGGTCACCTACAAACAAGCAAGATTTCTGGCTCTCACAGACCTGTAACTTCTTCTTTAAGAGGCTTCTCTGTCCTCCACTCGTTACCTGTATTAATGGCATCTGTTTGAACTCGTTATCAGTATAAAAGACACCTGTCCACAACCTCAAACAGTCACACTCCAAACTCCACCATGGCCAAGACCAAAGCGCTGTCAAAGGACACCAGAAACAAAACTGTAGACCTGCACCAGGCTGGGAAGACTAAATCTGCAATAGGTAAGCAGCTTGGCGTGAAGAAATCAACTGTGGGAGCAATTATTAGAAAATGGAAGACATACAAACCCACTGATAATCTCCCTCGATCTGGGGCTCCACGCAAGATCTCACCCCGTGGGGTCAAAATGATCACAAGAACTGAGAGCAAAAATCCCAGAACCACACGGGGGGAACTAGTGAATGACCTGCAGAGAGCTGGGACCAAAGTAACAAAGGCTACAATCAGTAACACACTGCGCCGCCAGGGACTCAAATCCTGCAGTGCCAGACGTGTCCCCCTGCTTAAACCAGTACATGTCCAGGCCCGTCTGAAGTTTGCTAGAGAGCATTTGGATGATCCAGAAGAGGATTGGGAGAATGTCATATGCTCAGATGAAACCAAAATAGAACTTTTTGGTAAAAACTCAACTTGTCGTGTTTGGAGGAGAAAGAATGCGGAGTTGCATCCAAAGAAC